AGCATTGCAAGGGTTCCCTCGACAAATAGAAAAAGGATTTCAAAGTTGGATTTGAGTACATTAAAGAAAATAAGCTTTGCGGCCAACACACATTTATGATACTTATAAAAACATAAATATTAACACCACTTTATGATTTTCGAAGCGTAAACCTAATCTGCGGGAATAAAAAGCTAATGTAATGCTATAAAGAAAATACATCACGGTCTCCTGGCTGCACATCACCACCGCTGAGCTAAAGGCGGTCGCATGTCAGTGTGATGACATTTAGTAGTAACCGCCATTTTTAGGACCAAGAGAAGCTTCAGACATTCACCAGTGGAGCATTAACTGATGTTTTCAGCTTGTGTTAACAACAGATCTTACTTCAGACTTCTAACCACAAGCAAGTCAAACAAAAACTGTTGACTTGGAGACGAGGGAAATGGAAGTGGTAAAATACTAAGTATTTTTCAGATTGTAGAACTCATTCCTGCACCACTCTTTAACTTAATGGTTTTAGTATTTTATTCTGTTTGAATACCTACTGTACATGAAGCTTAGAAATATGCCATTCAATGACAATGAACTGCAGTGAGTTGACACCCTAGATATGCATTAGAGTTACGTAGAAGCCTTCAATTAATGGACCGTAGATACTAGTACAAGTACAAGTTATATGGGTATTTTGCGAGATCCATTCATCTGTCACAATTGACGTTCTCCATACATTTGCACATTGATGATTTGACATGTCTTCTCTCATCCTCACATTGTCATAGCAGGTGAATCGATGCACACATTAGAGACACACTACCTTCTCAAGCCCTTCTTCCTTCAGACTGATAACATCGAGGTCAAAGTCAGTCCTCAAGCCATTGGTCCGGTTGAAGATTATTCTTCCAGTCAGGCCATCCCAGTGAGCCTAAAGACAGGGGGGTGGGGGGGATATGAGAGGAGATTCAACAATCAGCACCAAGTCTTAATCTTTCCTTTTTGGATGTCACTGTTCAAAGCAAAGTAGCCAAGGAGTCAGAACACACACTTTTTCTTTTTCTACCTCTCACACACTGGTTCTGTCTGTACAGCTTCCTGGCATCAGAAGCTCTACACGCACACACTCTGAGGCTGCATTTGTAACTGTGTGAAGGCAATCCCACAATCTTTACAGATATTCAGGGGTGTGATAAGATACAATGCAGCATGAAAGTGGTTCAGAGCAGGAAAAGCTTTTTTTTTTCCAGGTTCAGCAAATCATCACAGAGATTTTCCAACTGGGAGCCGGGGACTTCAGGCCCTGAAGTCAGAAGAGTGGGAGCCAAAGATCTCTTCCTCTGTACAGTCTGCTCTGCTAGAAAGCCTTTTTCATGATGCTTTGATTCATACACCTCTGATAATCAGAGTGCTGTTTGCATACCACTCCAAAAGAGAGTTTACTTTTTACAATTACCAAGTGATATATTAAATCTGTCAACTTGTGTTGTCAATGTGTTACTATACAGTCTGTCACTTAATCTTCTTCACAACTGTTGACCATTTCCTGGATCCTAGATATTCATGGTCCCAAGAGGAGAACTCCTGTAGACTTTGGTGTGTCATAATTGGTATACTTAAATTATTTAAAACCTCTTAAGCTCACATTCATGCTCCACAGAGGATGAACCCCAGCTGCCAATCTCCGAATAACTCTTCTTCTTCAAGACCCACCTTAAAATGACCCTTGGCGTTCTGAGTTGCTTACTTTACAGGATTGTAATCCAGCCTTGAATGCCATCCTCATGACAAGAAAAATATATATTTCTAATATTATATTTGTGTGCAGTTTTGACTCTTTAAAGGGAGAATTGTAAGCTAAGTCAACCCCTGATTTGTCTAGCACCACAAAGTTCATTGGAACAAACGAGATTTTTTTAAAACAAACCGGAATAAAAGCATATTAAGGCTGCTGAGAGGTTTTTGACTTAAATTATTCCAAGGCCCACTCCCCTTATGACCAACCACAGAAAAAAACATATAATGTATATTTGAAAACAAGCAAAACGTTTTTAAGGGAGGTGAGAGCTGGGAAACGACCATTCATAGTGTTTTTGTGATGCAGTTTTAAAGCTCTACAAAAGATGTAGCTAGTAAAGGATCATCATTTAAGATCATTTCCGATTGTTCAAAATAAAGTTCAATTGATCAAATTAATCCAATCTAATGAAATATCTTAATTTGCCTACTTGCCTATCTCGTCAAATAAATATTAATTAAGCTTAACACATTTATTTTACATGGTGTATTTTGATGAGTATTTTTCAAAGATGGTGTCATGTAAACTTGAGTATACTTCAAGATTTTTGAAAAGTAAGGGTTGTGGAAGGAAAAATAAACAGAGCATCAAAACATCTATAGTGAAAACTGTTGAATTTAATATAAATAAATGCATATAGTTCCAATTTGCAAACCCTCACCAAATGGTTTATTTATTGCAGTGTTCTCATGAACAGAGCATAAGGGAGCCCTAAATATAGTTTGCCTAATCCTCAGCCTTTCCACGGAAAGCTCCGGATTAACCATCCCAGATTCAGAAACGCAGCAAACTGTGGGGCAATTACCAAATATTAAGATAATGTTCTTTTTTTTGTTTCTGCATGGCTGACTAACGCTGGGAGCAGGCTCAAGATGGCTGCCGTCCTCATGGGAGTATGTATGCAAACACATCAAAAGGTTTCCATATGAATAAATACACAGATAAATCATCTCTATTTAATCACATTCCTTTTGCCTCGGCCTTATTTGCATTCTGCGGGTCTGCTCCGCTGAGAGCATGTGTTTGCTGTGTGTGAAGGAGTGTGTGTATGGTGGGGGGGAGCAGGTAGAGCAGCAGCTACCTCTTTGATGAGGGCCATGAAGCGGTTCCCGAAGCGCCAGGGCTTGTGTCGGTTGCACTGTAACGAGCTGACAGTGATCTGCTGAGACTGCTGCACAGCCACGGCCACCACGTGCACGGCATCGTACATGAGCGCGGCGTCCGTCTGCAAACAGAGAGGGGGGGGGGGGGGGACAGAGCGTCATTCACATGGAACACAGAGAATCAGCGGGCACAGGCATGGATCTGCTCAGAATCAGAGAATATCAATGTCATGATGGCACAATCAAAGCCTCACATTAAAACCCAGGGGCCCGGCTCCAGAGCACAGACAGTAGAGAGAGAAAACATTTAAAAATAAAGGAGAGAGAGTAAAGGCTCCTTCTCAAACAGACAGGACTTTTCTTCAGACTGTTCATTTTACATTTATATTACAGTTATATGCCATTTCCTGGACATTTAATGTAAATAATACTTTCAAATTGTGTTAGCTGTAATTTGTCCCTCAGATTTGTATCTCTCAAGGTCAACTTTTAAGTATTTCTCTTTTTAGTTCCGTTTTGTTTTCTGAGATGTTTATGTTATGTTTTTTCATTTTCTACACTTTTTATTTTTCACATTACGTGCAATGCCTTTTTAACATGCTGCTGTAATGAAAATATGTCCCAATTTGGGATCAATAAAGTGTATATTATCTTATTTATCTTATCTTATATACATGCAAATATTTGCACATGTATAAATAATATGCAAAGAATAAAGTTAATATTAAATACATGATCCGTCCTATACTTTCATACACATAAAAAAAGCTTCTAAAGTAAACTATTTTATCCAAACAAAACTACTACTTCATAACTACTACTACTACTACTACTACTACTACTACTACTACTTATATTACTACTTAGTAGTAGTAATATAAGTAGTAGTAGTAGTAGTAGTAGTAGTAGTAGTAGTAGTTATGAAGTAGTAGTTTTGTTTGGATAAAATAGTTTACTTTAGAAGCTTTNCTAAAAAAGGGGCTACAACGGAGCTGATCCAGATTTGCGTCCGATATGACGTAATATCGGAAATGTAGGCTGGCTTTACACCCACGGCCCTATCAGAAACGTTGCTATCAGAAACAATGCCCGACTGTTTTGGCCGTAATATGGTCGGTGCATGTTTACATTAGCATCGCTAACACTCAGAGCTAACCTGTACTGGAGAGCATGTGTGTGAAGAAGCAGAAAATAAAAAGGAACTCACCTTGTGGTATAACCGGCAAGCGAGAAAGCCTTTGAGCTCCATACTGTTTCAGAAATAATCCTTGATAATCCATGATATGGCGTTTCATCACCGCAGTATTTAGTTTAGACAGTAGCTGCCGGGTCCCGCATGAGCTCATCCCCCTCATTTATTTATTTTTTAAAGCTTTATACCCCAAATCAGCACTTTTGAAACAGGAAGTGAAATAGAGGGATATGAGGCATGGCTAGAATGGGTGATCTGTTTGGTATTTTGAGCAAAACACTTCATAGACATGTATTTTTATATATTTGTATATATCTGAGACCTATGCTATTGCCTAAAAATAGCAAGATAGGTGCACTTTAAAATAAACGAGATACATACGGAAGATAATTACCTTATTCATCAAGACAAATTATCACTAATGTATCCTATGCTTTCTTTTAGTATTCTCTTTCAGTGCACATGTATCACACACCATCTACGCTTTACAACTGCTCTCCCATTTAAAACTCGAGAGCTAGAATATTATTCATTGATTAGCTTTGGTATGATTTCCCCTCCCTCCCCCCTATGTCTTTGAACCTAAACATATTTAATTTCATTCATTCTTTTTCACTGGGAGATGATCCAGCATACTCCTTAATCAAACCAAATAGAAAAGCAAAGTCGATAATTGCTTCTATTGTCTCAGGCTGTGGAGAGCACTACTCTGTTTCATAATTGTTGAAATCACAGCAACAAATGAATGCAAAAATTCATCATGTGGCGATATTAAGGGAATCCAACCTGCCTGTTAAACAGGGGACACTAAAAGGGATGCACACAGATGGGACAAGAGCACTGGTTGACGTTCAGGGACTATAAAGATGGCCAACTGACACTGTCACCGGAAACATACCAAAAATGGACGTTTTAACGGCTTTTTATATTTGATAACATGATTCCTTCAGATATTATTGCAGATCTGCTGTAAACTATCAAGCTAACGAAGCTAATCTAGTAATTTCAACAACAAAAAAACGGACACAACACTGACAATTGAAAAAGAGTAACTCTGCCAACAGTGGTGATTTTTTCATTGGCAGCTGTCTTGGCATTGTTTTTGAAATAGCAGCACGTTTCTCCTAATGTAGAGCGTCTGCACAGTCGGCGCCAGACATAACTAATCGCACATTTATTGTCTCGAGGTGGAAAGCACAAACAGCCCTGAGTATGATAAACAAAGCTGAGGCAAAAGGGAAATACCTGAAGCACAAAATGTCTAAATAAATAAACCAACATGCTCAAAAGAAGGGAAAATAGTGGGGCACGTCCTTTCTTTATTCTACTCCTGCCCTCTCAAACAGACACACAGTCTCCCTCTCTTGTCACACATTATCCCCAGCCAGTCACCTTTACTCCTCTACACGTTAGATGTTCTTCTGCAGAGCCAGGAAATAAAAGTACAGGCGAGCTGGCACACAGACAAACACACTCTCAGTGTTTCTCCCTCTCACAAACTTTACACTTTCTGAGCGCTGCACTCACCCAGGATAAACCCACAGTTGCTGCCAGAGTGAATCAGTTAACTTAACAGTTTTGTGACTCTCCTCACGTCCTGGGGGATAAACAGAGGTTTGGCACTACTTGGCTTTGGCAGACAAGCGTAAACACAGTTGTCGATAATTGCTATTGGATTGTAGTAGAGGTACTTTAGAAAAAAACAGCTATTGCCGAAATGGAGTGGTTCAGTGATGACCAATTTTTGTAGTCCGACCCCGAAGTCAGCATCGTAAAGGGTCCATCGACAAAACGGATTTAGATTTTTTTATTTGGGACATTGCAGAACATATGCTCCATGATATTTACTGGTTTTGTCCCTACTGCTAAGCTAACATACACATGTTCAGCATGGCAGCGTTTATTAGAACATCATGGGAAAAACCTCTAGCTTCTGTTAACCAAGACCTTATTTCAGGCATCTAATCACAAACACTGAGAAAAATGTTGGCTTTTAGACAAAGGAACAGGACGTTCCAAAATGCTAACTCATATCCAGGTTCTAGGACTAATTCTTGAACGACTCTGTGGCTAAAATGCCAAACTTGCAGCTTCAGAGCTATAGGTCATAAACAAATAAGTGATGCACAGTGACCTTTTCTTATGTGCACTCTATGTATAGATCTCACAGATGCTCAACAGTTGTGCATGAATACAAAGTAAATGAATTAAAGTGGACCTATCATGCTATATTTTAATAATATAGTGTAGGACCATACCTATATAAGGCATATTTATACTTTTTATTTTTCAAAATACCAAACAGATCATGCATTTTAGCCATTCCTCATTTCGCTCAATTTAACAATGTCTTTACATGGGCTGATTCCGTGAGAACAGCACCATCTACAGGCCTGGCATATGTACTACAGCGTCTCCAGCGCTTTCGAACGGCAATGTCCGTGGCTGTCTCCTCCTGATTGGTGGATTTGGCCCAATAGCCGTAGCGCAACTTCTGTGACATCATAGAAGTGTTCAAATCTGGATCAGTCTGTATCAGATCCATTGCAGCCCCTTTTTCAGAGATTTGGGTATGGAGGAAAATAGAGAGGGTTGTGTTTTCTGACACTTGGTGAGTTCCCTGGAACACCGGGGACACATATTCATGTATAAAAGACGTACAAAAGTGCATTTTGCATGATAGGTCCCCTTTAAGTGTTTTTGTAGGTTTTGTACCGAGTGGCAG